AAAAGCCACATGTAAATTCCCATTTCCTGTGAAATGTAAGCAAAAACAAATCACCACTGTGCAAGTAATAGGGCAGTTATTTCTCTTTCAAAGGAGAAAAAAACCCCTTGTTTCTCCAACATAGGAATTCAGTTGACTACAACTGGAGGGCAGACAGGTGATCTCTGTTACTGAAGGTAACACCTAAAGCCATATTATGGTTTGTCTGGTGTAGCACAATGGCTGAATGCCTCCAATATTGGCTTATTCATCAATCTTTGGAAAACAAATCAAGGCTTGGCTCAGTGTGTGTAGCCAAAAAGATGAGCTAGCTTTAAATTGTTCTCTGTCATCATATGATAGAAAAATAACATAATTTAGACTTTTGGCAGTAAGATAGTCAGAAAATAGTTGTCAGTTTCTTCACTAAGTACAACTCACAGTCCAACTAGGAAGAAATAGTTGGCTCAGAATGAAAAGCAGGGTTGAACCTGGTCAGTGTTTGAATGGGAGACCACAAGGAAATCTAGGCTCTATAGACTAGACTGTGAAGTCTAAAAAAATCTTGGAAGAAGGCAATGGCAATCATTTTAATACTACTGCCATAAAACTATATGCATGTATCCATGAAGTCATCAAGAATGATGCTTGCCTTACCAGTCTATCTATCCTGAGTACTTATAGAAAATGGCTGTTATGGCACAGAGGTGTTCATTTATAAAATGGCTGCTGAGATGGGCATAGTCAGTCTTGATGAGGGAACTTCATAACATAACATAACATAACATAACATAACATAACATAACATAACATAACATAACATAACATAACACTGACCTGGGCCTAAACAGGGTTGGATGCATTTAATACTTGGATGAGAGACCACTAGGAAATCAAAGAGATGTAAACAAAAGTGGTAAGCTGAAATAAAACCTTGGAATAGAAACCAGTTCTCTATTGTTGCTAAGCAAACAATATGAGATATTCATTCAGTCACCAAAAATGAAGTGACTCAAAGGTCTTATCTTATAAAACATACAGTTACCCTAATCCTCCATTGTTCTTGCTTTTTGTTAGCCTTTCATTCTGATGCAAACAATTTTAGAGATGTGCAAAGAAATATTTCTGTAGAATGTAAGAAAATCTGTTTATTGGGGGACTTCCGGAGGAAGAAATGGCAGACTGAAGACGGCTCTGAGAAGCAGAACTGATGACCGTGGCAGAATGAAGAGCCGGTGAGTAGACTGGCTCTTTGAAATCTGTCCGGACAAGGAGAGGATTTGAGATTGCCCACAACTGCTCCAGATAGCTGCTCCTCGCAAGGAGACTGCAAGATAGCAGTCTCTGGTGGGTTTAGAGCTCTGTGAGACAAGAGAATAGTCATCTTCCTCAAACCACGGTTGGCGCCTTTGAAAGGATACTAAGGTTGCACACTTCCTTTTCCAATCACCTTTGGAAATTGCTTGTTAATTGTTTTTCAGCTATTAGGAACCTTTGGATCAACATGTTTGACAGCACTGGGTGAGTTTCCTTCAATCCTTAGCAAAAAAAAGTTTTAACTACAAGAACTTAAAAAAGTTTTTTGAATAAACAGCAAAAGGGTGATTACAACTTTGATTTGAGAAAGTTGCAAACAGACTAAGGGTCCAGATAAATTTGAAATAAGATTTTGGAATTAATTATAAATAATTATTCCCATGGGAAAATGCTTTTGCTTTGAAATTAAAAAAAAAACCACAATAAGATAAGATTTTAAAAATTGGACACTAGAGGGAACTAGAGGTAATTACAGATTACAATTAAAGGAGAAGAACATGTAGACTTGATTTACAACTGCAGAATGAAGCAAAAAATTCTAACATTGGACAAACTGAAGGATATTTTTGAACAATGGACTCAGAAGTTAATTTTAATAGTGTCAACAGAGACATCTGCTGAATGGAGAGACTGTGTCTAAAAGATGTTATGGAAGAGGAACAAGTTTTACCTGATAAGATTGAGATTGAGTTGAAAGTGGATTTACAAGGCTACAAGAATGACATGGAAAAAGATGTTACACTGGACATACAAAAAAGAAAAAAAAAAGGCTGATGTCTTAATAATTAAAAGGGATATACAAACAGTAAACCAAGAGAGTGACCTGGATAATTTTCTATACTGGATTTACAAAAGGGCTTGTTAAAGTTTTGAAGAATCTCGTGAGACGGGACTAAGAAAAAATGAAAAGAAATCAAGTTCTACTACATTATTTGAATGGACTACAGATTAAGATTGTTAGAAGTAAAAGGGAGGAATATAAAGTTGGTTTATTGGTTTGATTGACTGAAAGTTGGTTTATTTGATCAAAGTTAAAATAGATATGTTATTTCTGGTAACCCTTAATGGACTTTTGCTGACACCAGGACTGAAATGACGATGCTTTATGGATTTGTTTATAGATAAGAGATGAGATATGGAGAGATCATTTGTTGTATTTTAAGAGGTGGTGATAAATTACTAAAATTGTTCATACTTGTGATGAAGGTGGGAAGTCACTTCTTTATATTTATTTTTATTTATGTATTTATTTATTTATTTATTTATTTATTTATTTTTACCATATTCTTACTTTTCTTTCTTTTCTATTTCTATTTCTCTATTTTTCCTTTCTTTCCTGTACCTTTTTTTTTTTATAGTTTGTATTAGTTTTTTACTGTAATTATAATCTTTAATAAAATTAC